TAACAACTGCCAGCACCAGAGGATGGCATCAAGTAATCTTGAACTATAATTTTTAACCCAGACCCATCTTCCGTGAGAAAACATTGATTATTATTAACGCCTATGTGTGGTATAGAAGATAGTCTAAGTTCTATGAATTCTAGTGACCAATATATAGGATTCATTATGGAACTCACAAGACTTAAAACTGCCAGATGTGGGAGGAGGCTTCAACTCAACGGAACAGGAAATCCTGGAAAGATAAGTGGTGTTGGCCAGTGCCTGTAGTCAACCTAGGAGCGCCAGTACCGTAGATCCGACATTCCACAGTTTAGCAGTGATGAATCTGGCTGTTGCTAAGGACTAACCAGGAGCCCACCTGGCGTAATATATTATTCGCTTCCTTAGCTGGTTTCATTGTTCTTGCTGAATTCTTATCTTTATCTTCCTACATGCGTTGCACTGATTGCATGATGTTTTGTTATTTCACATTCTGTGGTTAGTGTCCATCCTTCACAGTTCTTAAGTTGCCTAAAGTATATGTTGTATTGTTATACTTCACGTTATACTGTGTTAATTTGACTAGCATAGGATAACTATTTAGTACGGGTGCTTAAGTCCAAGTTGCGCCTAGGAATGTTTATTGATTCTGTAGTGCCATAATTTGAGTCGCCTCACTCCTGAAGTAGGTTGGATGTTCATTGGAGTTGCGGGATACGGCCTAGACCATTGCGAGCCAACATCACAACACTAAAGCTACTTCAGAGTGTCTTTTGGTTTATTAGGGGAAGCCCTAACAAAGACACGTGGCACCAGCGTTATGTGACAGTAAGTATGTATTTATGTATGCATGTATGTATGTACATATTCATGTATGTATGTATTTACATATTTGTCTGGCCGTTGTCGCTTTCTTTACTTCTATGCATGTCTGCATTGAGTAGTTGTGTGCGTTGCGCCGTTCTCTATAAATCTATACATTACACTGTCTTGTCTTGTGCCGTTTTCTGTAATGATCTTTTTCTTCTTTACGTTCACCAGCTGTAAACTCTGGCGGAAAGTTTTAATTGTTTTTCCACTTTTGGACTGCAGTCCTATTCCAGAGCCTGAGTGTTGCGAGTGCATCCGTTTTACAGATCTAACTTATTTGTAGGCATACTGCTGGTTCCTTGTCATTCAGGTAGATGCACTTCGACTTCAAAGGAAGCTCCCAAATAGTCGACTGTTACGACATGCTTTTGGGTAGGCAGTAGGTCCTGTCTTTTTTTTAAAATCCCTATAATAGGGCCCCTGAACCCACACTGGTATCTGTAATGATACTTATGCTTGTATTCCACGGTTTTCTATCTTCTACTATTCTCAGTAATTCTTATGCTTGCCGGGGTCAATCCCAAGCTGCAGGTAATTTGGCAGCAGACCGTTTTGCGTTGGTTTCGACAGTAGTATCGCGAGACGACCGTTGAGTAAAATGGCAAACTACCGAACTTAAGTTGGCCTAGACAAACATCATCAGCCAAAGTGTGCTGCGGTTTTTTCTGCAATGTTCTGTATAGCACATGTAACCAGTGTGCTTTTTTATCTTTCTTTTTTACCCTTTTCTACCTTGTTGTGCTTGCTTTTATCTTGCATATGCATGTGTGTGTCTGTGTGTGTGTGTGTGTGTGTGTGTGTGTGTGTGTGTGTGTGTGTGTATATATATATATATATATATATATATATATATACATTTGTGTGTGTGTGTGCGTGCTTTATTGTTCGCTCTCTACCCATTCCTTTTGCTCCAAGCATTGTTCCACCTAAAGCTTTGTATGATCCTTCGAGAATGAACTAATAAATGTTTCTAAAGAGCGCTACCACACAATGGGAACAACACAGACATAATGGCCAACAACAGATGAGATACTTTTCCATCAATAATTTCATGATAGCAAAGATCTTCAAGGTCGCAGCAAGAACTTTACACATCGGAGAATTGTTTGTATTAACGAATGTCTGAAAGGATTGTATTAACACTTTATAGCATTATGTTACCCGATAACATTTATCATGTGTGATGAGATGCTTGGCCTGATGGTCAACGCTTACCGTAAGCCGAGCCGAAAACCCGTACCTTTTTAGAGATTCTATTAGACTTAAAGACCCTTTTTCCCGCTTTCTGGTATATTGGGCATACAGGGCTAGACCTCGGTTTTATAGACCAATCGGCACTTGCTGTATGATATGGTCAGCATCACGCCGGCCGCCTTAACTTTCCAGGACTACACCTGGTACCCACTCAAGGCTGGATCGACCTCGAAGCCAAGGTCATAATATGCCTATTACCAAGACCTAATACTTGTGAATACAAAATGCTTCTAATCAGAAACCAGACCTGAAATGCAAAAGCACAAAAAACAAAACAAAAGCAAATACAGACAAACGTCAT